AAGTTGTTTTGTCAAATGTCCACAGATATAATTTTGTATGTTTACACACATTCATACATACATACATTTATCGTCACCTCCAATGCAAAAAGTCCTTTTTGGCAAAATTTTAAATTTTACAGGTGAAGCAAACAACTTTTTCGTATTGTATAGCAAATGCTTAGTGAGCTGTTGTAAAGATGCTGTTAGTTAAACTTCAAATTTTGTAAGGTTTGGCTTTTAAGTTCGGTATCTGAGATCAAATTTGTGGAATGTTTACGAAATCCCACTTAAAAGATACTAAATAGGACCTTAAAAAACTATTAAAAATGTGTATGTAAATTAAGCTGTAATTAGAATACAAGCCACTTGATTGAAATTTGTATATATTTCGAAAATTATACATAAGTATTTCTCCTTAGAAAATTTATTTTCTATAGCCTGAAAGCTTTTAAAATAACCCATAAATTTTCCATTTCCTCAGTATACGGCGTGTTTTTGTTTTTCTACCAGACAACAAATGTGCGCACAGTTGCTGGGAGCGCATTTGACAATCGCTTTGGAAAGAAAAAGACTAACGCAGTTTTGAGAAAAAACGATTGATTTGTTTAAATAATAAAATAACTTGAAACAAGAAGAGACACACACACACACACACACCAATTACAGCAAACAACAATGGGCAATGCAATTTATTAGTCGCTGGCTTGTTGATAGTGATGGCAAATCGATCGGCGGACTATCGATAGTGGGCGATATTTTTTTTGTAAACTATCGATAGTCTATCGACAGTTGCTTATTTTGAAAAAGATAAAAATCTATTTAATTGGGGTGTACTCATAGTCAAAATTAAGTTGGTACTTAAAGTTGATTGTAACTTTATTGACAGATAAGCCATCCGAAATTATGTCAAAAAGGTACAACTAACTTTACCAGTACCAACTTAATTTTGACTATGAATACGCCCCAATTGCATTAGATATAGTTTTTTAAAGACCATACAGATCTACCTGAATAATGAAAGACCGATTTAAGAAACTAAACAATTATTTTTATTTAAGAAACATAGCATGCCAACATTTTAAGGTTTTAGTTGCAATCTCTTTTTGTTTAATATTAAAGCTGCTTTACTGTACATTCGTTCCGATGCTACTGATGACGTTAGGCCAACATAATTGCCATATATTCCTTTATATAAAAGTTTTGCCGCTTTATACAATGCACATTAACGATTTTTGTGTCTTAAATTTGGCAAATTTTCTATAGTGAAAATACGTATTACTAGTAAAAATAATTTATGGGAGGAAAATCTGTCACGTTCGATATGTCACGCCCGTTATCATATTTTCATTCAAAATTAAACCGACACGAATTGCTTCTGATTGAAAATGAATTGGTTGTTATGATACGTAATTTGACTTTATTTAAAGAATCTTTAAGAAAGGAAAACTTCTCAGGATTCGCAGAGTTTTGCTGTTTTTGTCACCCCCGCTATGAACTACTTTTCATCGATTTTTTTTACAACACTAATCCGAGCGCACCTACACAGCGGCAATTTTTTTGTGAGTGACTTCCGTTTTCGTATGATTTATTTAACTCTAAAGTCGCACGAATGTCACATACCACATCATGGAAACACCTACATATATACCACATACCACATGAAGTCCGAGATGTAGATGAAAGCGCGTTTCCAATTGAGAATGTCAAAATATTGACTTGCGACAATACACTTACTTAGATCACTTAAATAATAAATCGAATCAGACGACAACAACAAGAACAAACCAAAATCGACAAAGGCTAAGGAAAAGAAAGCTATAAAAAGACAACAAGTGTTTCTTTCGTCGTCGCGAGCGCGTGTTAATCAAATTGTTTGCGATTACTCTGCTGTCGTCCCAAATTATTATTCATTTATTTGCTGCCAGACAAAACGATTTTTTCACCCGCGCACCGCATTCTCAGTGATTCATTTTACGTCAGCGACAGTTTATGCGACAAGTGAATGTGGAATTGGAAATCCGTCAAGGCCACTGAATACTAACGAGTGCCAAAAAAAAAAAAAAAAACACCGCGCGTAACGCAATGCCACCCAAAGAAAAGTTTATACATTTTCCTTATTTTTTGATTGCCAAATAGTTTTCGGTTCGCCAAGGGAAGGCATGTTCGTATTTGTCTTTCGTTTTTCTCGCTATCAGTATTGGTAGCGTTATGTGCATATATTGTTGAATTTATCATTACCGTTATGTAGTAAGTAGTTTATCTTTTAGTTACATTTAGTCTGATAGTCAACAGTATTGCTACCAGTGTTGTTAGATTCATAGTTTTAACTGTAAATTACAGTTTTTTAGACAAGCTTACAAGTGTTTAAATTACCTCCTAGTACATATGTATTATGGTTTTCTCGAAATTACCGATTTGAACGAATAACTTAAAATTTCTCGTCTGGTTTTTTTTTTGTGAGTCAACTTTTTAGATAAAAAGGGGCCTATGAAGAAGACGCCTTTCCCCATATGAAACAAATGTTTTCAGCTGTCCTTTGAATTCCAGTGCCCACAGCGAATGTAGAAAGAGTATTTTCCCAAATCAATTTGAATAAAACAACAAATAAACGAGAAAATCCAGCTCTCTGGTATTTTAAGAACTAAAAACTTATTTCCAAAATTATTCAGGAGGTACTTAATTTGAGGTATCGAATCAAATGCTCAAAAAAAATTAACAAAGGAACTTCACATTTCATTAGAGAGTCTATTTTTGTTCCGTAATTATAATTTAAAAGGTTTGTGGTATTTCATTTTAAAATAATTGTCTTTTGTTATTTATGTTCAATAAAATTAAAAAATTTAGATTTTTTCAAACTCTTCTTTTTTGATGATTACAGTTTTTTTTGTTTAAAATACAGGTTTTCTCTCGGAAATTCACAGTTTTTTGCAAATAAAACCTGGCAATACTGATTGCTACTGATATCGTTATTTTAATCGCAATGCAAACCGTTATTCTTACTTTACACATATAATCGGTATTGTTGCCTTTATTTATGTTGATGTTTGAGATTTTTTGGCTATTGCTTTTGTTACTGTCATCTTCGCTGTGATTGATATCAGCATCGATATCGATTAAATTATCGATACTTTAAAATAAAAACTGCCGAAACGCAGTACTAAATAGTATATATACGTACATATCTGCTTATTAGACAGGCTCTTATGAAACGGTTTTAAAAAATTTTGAGGTTAAAAAATATGCATAGTTTTAATACCTCTACCTACATACTCATAAAATTGGAATTTCTCGTGACAGTCACTTTCATTGTCCTTGCTATTTTTAATACTTGCTGAATCTACATATATGTACATACATATGTACTGTATGTATGTAAGGAAATAAAAAATCTGGCACTTACCATTTTTATCGCCTGGGCATGTTTTACAACATTTACCGGGTAATTGAATTGGATCACTGCATAAAGTCGGCGGACATTCGTGTTTAATGTTCTTGCACTGTACGCGTACAACGATGCGACGTTTTTTCGGTACCTAAAAAAAAAAAAACAAAGAACCCAAATGAATGAATTATTTACATACATATTTGCAAAAGAAATGTGGCAAACTAATAAAAGCGTTCAGAGATCGAGCTACTGCTGTAAAACGATTAATTTACGAGTAAACATACCCTGCAGGGAAACCGCGGACTGGTGCATAAAATTTCTAGTTCCGTACAAGATCTTTATCGCCAAAAACGAACCAGTCCGATAGTAAGTAGATCCCCACCAGTTCAAAATCAGCGAAATGTGGGTCTCTTAAAAAACTATTTTATTTCTCTTTTTTCATTAGAAATCTATATCTAAAGTGACGAATTTAGAACTGGTTCGGAATTATAGAAAAAGGGACGCAGAACGAACTAGATCTTATCTGTCGAATTTAGAACTAGTCCGAAACTATCGAAAAAGGGATGCAGCGGGGGGCTTGTTTACTTTACATAGATATGTGTTTGGCGGCTTTTTCGTTCAAATGCTCTTTCATTCTGCACTTCGCAGATGCTATTTCATAGTTTGGTAATACAAAACAAAACTTTGTATTAACATACTAACATCTTGGGGCCAACTGGAATGTAACAAATAACAGCGAGCACCTCTGCAAAGTCAGCTACAGCCAAAGGTATGTAAACGTACATTTCTTACAATCATTCAAACAAATTTAATTTCAAATTGAAAAAAAAACGTTTCTTTGAAAATAATGTAAAATCGCACACGGAAGAACCGAAAAGACTGAAAAATCATAATACTTTTTTCTTTCGTCTGGCGATTTTAAAACTGGTTCGGAACTATAGAATTTAGAACTAGTTCGGAACTATCGAAAAAGGGATGCGGCGGGGGGCAATTGACACTTCCTAGGACATCGCCATGTTAAATTCGCCAGTTGCTTGTATGCAAAAGAGATTTATCGCGAACCAGTACTGGGTCTAAATGTACTAGAAGCGCACCAGTTCAGAACTAGAGATTTTCCCCACAGGGTATGTATGTATGTATATTTTGATGCAACATGTCCCACTGCGCTACAGCATCGCCAACTTGTTGTAAATTGTGGCCTTTATGGTGGCGCCAACAAGCGCCAGGCGACATTTGTAAACATTTTTTCATTTTTACATACATGACACACTTATTTAGATACATTCATATACATACATACATATGTACATATATGCAGTTGAATAGCTTTTGTCGGCACTTTAACCCTTTTGCTGTTATCATAATTTGATTCGTAGTTTTTTTTTTTAGTTATTCTTGAGTCGAAATACCCCGCTGTGCTAAAAAGTTTATGATGCTGTTAGTGCATCTATACATGTACATATACATATGAATGTATCAGGGATGCCAACTCATTTTTTCGGCGAAATTCCCCGCGCTGGCATATTTAATTCCATTGAAAAAACTCAAATCTTTTAATTTGAATTTATTAACGAATGTACATAGGTTCTATATTTAAATGTTAAATTTGTTCATTAATTTCTTATAAAAATATATTTTCTTTTATAACATACGCCATTTAAGTCAAAATTGAAAACTTCGGGCCAAACTCACAAAAATTCAACAAATATAAAAAAAAAATGTTCATAAAAATTTTCAGAGTTTTTAGAAACCAATAAATTTTAGTATATTATTAATGTGCACGTTTGAAGTGGCTACAAATTGCTGTTGGTTTTTGATAATTTTTTTTGCTGGGGCCTTTCGCACTTTCTTCCGCTCTGCTCACTCGAATTTAAATACAGATTAGAGATTAGACATATGTATGTATGTATATTAGACTGATTAAAAAAAACGTTAGTCCGCCACTGACGGACACGTAGTTTTACCCCCAAAATCTCCCCGCTGGATCCGCCACTGTACATATGTAGGTATGCATCTATGCACCACGGTCAAGTTGTAGAAGCTAGCAGCCGCATTGAAGAGTGCTCCCGCCTGTACGCAGCAACAGGTTATGCCGGTGGCTGTTCATTGCCGTTTATGTATGTAAATATGTATTTATATACATATATATGAATAAATAAATATTGGTGCATACATATATATTTGCATTAGACTGCATCACCAAAAAAAGTTGCAGTTTTCCCGCAGAGACTAGAAAATTTATTATATTTGAAGGCTTCCCCCAAAATATTTTGGAAAAACATTAAGATTTACGTGACGTGACTGGACCGATTTTAAAATACCTCCAAAATGGAGTAAAAATAGTTTCTTAAAGGATTTTTTGAAGAAACCTCCCTCAGCTGACAGAATAGTTTAAGCTCAAAAAATATGCATAAAATTATTTAAAAGTTTTTTCAACGGAAACATAATATGTAATGCGATTTTTTCTAGCTTTTTCAAAGATTGGTTTAAGAAAAACTTGAATAATTGAAGGTATTTGCTTGCCATTTACCATTTTCCGGAAAATTCCATAAGTCCCGGACATATTTTGTTTTACTTCGTTACTTTGTAAATCAATTTCGCTTTAACCTCATATTATTTTCTAAAGCTATACATATATCTTTTCAAATTCTAATTTTTGCATTTCTAATTTTAATTTTTTTAATGCTGCTGCATGTTGCATTGTATGCTATTCGATTATATAGTAGCTGCCAGTGTCATTGCTGTTAGTGATCATTTTTGATCGTATTGCTACTAGCAATAATAGCGTGAAATGGAAAATTGGAGTAAATACTTTTGCAAAAGGAGATCTTAATTGCCTAAGCCTTTTTTATTGCTCTTTAGTTATGTTTTGGTTGGATTTTAGGTTGCTTCCACTGCTAGTATTCCTCTTCGCATTGCTGCTTTTATTTCTAATTTGTTCTGCATTTTATTATCGGCAGATTAATAACACTGTTTAACAAAATCAAGAAAATTGCACGAAATTCTTATGTGACCGAGTACAAGTCTACGGCTGATCAAAAATTTTCAAAACTGTGCATACAAATTTTCTGCCAACTTTTTGATCAGCTTATTCGCGGTACTGAAATCGAAAGGACCATAATGGACCAAGTCGGGAAGGTCTTTAAAAATTTGCGAGCAGGGCAGGGCAAACATCCTTTCCCGATAAAACCTGCAATTTATGAAAGTTTAGAAAAACTTGGTATGAAATCACTTGTTGCATTTTATTCAGACGAAATCGAACAGCAAGGGAAACGGAATAGAGCCGGTAGATGCCAGATCTTTCGGTATGACGAAAGTAGAATATTCGAGAGAGATTATATTGCTTATTAAAAATTAATTTGAAAGCAATTTGTATTTTACTTAGTGATAGCTATCGGGATCCACATGAACCGCGGTACAAATTAGCAAAACATCGGGATAGGTGGGATTGGGATTCACTATAGAAACTTTAACGGGAAAAATTTAAAAAGAACCCACCTACTCATACATACTACATGGCGTATGAGTAACGTTCTTTGCTGCTCATACATACATATGTATTTCACACAAAACTTTGTGAAAAAAACTTAAATTTTTGACAAATAAATTTATTTTCAACAAATTTATTGAGCTTGAGGCTGTTTTTATACAAATGTTTTGGAAAAATAACAATAATTTACAAACGTACAAGTTATACTCAAGTAGCACACTGGTGTACAACTACTTGGTGTAAACTTACGAATTTCGGTATTCTTCATTGAGATCACTAGGATTTGAACTCGCAACTTCGGCTGTCAAAGCCAGTGGTCTTTCTCACTGAGCTACATAAGTTCTCCGGGTAAACAGTTGTTGCTTTTTCCCACTTTCTATTTTTAGAATATTATAAATTTATTTTCGTTTAAAAACAGAATCGTAATTTTATGTGTGAAGTGATGGCAAATGTTTTCACTTCACGTTTTCACAGAACAAGAATTCGGCCCACAAATTGATAGTCTATGGCCCAAAATTATGTTTACGTTTTTTTTTGCGTTTTTCGTGTCATTCCAAGACATGAAATTTTCTCTACAGTGTCTTTTAAGTCTCTCGCTCATATCTCATTCAATACATACATATGTACATTTAGAAAATAAGTCGAAAAATTTGTAAGAATTCCGAAACGAACGCCAAAATTTTATTAGAATCAATGTAAAACTTCTAAAAATACGACATTTATTACAAGGCGACAATTTCAACTTCTACATAGTTAATTGTTCATAGGAAACGACAAACATGATTGAGACAAGTGACGGTATCTATTTACCACATTCCTTAAGTACATCGGGTGATTATTTTTGGTTTGAAAAAAAGACGCCAGTAGCAGCGTAAGACTTATATAAATTTTTCTGCTGGAGACTATGTATTTTTTAAATACCAGGCCTACAGCGCCACCCAGCGGGGAAAAAATAAAATCATTCATTCATTCGATTAAGAACTATTTGGAGTGAATAGAATTAAAACATGTTTCAGAGAGTTTTTGAGTCCGTTTCACTGTTACACAGTGTAATTTCGTATGTATGTATGTGTGAGCACACGTACCTAAATTTTCCTCTGTTTTATTGTTTTTTTTTTTTTGTTTCTATTTGCTGTTGCTACGAGCATAGCATAAATTAATGTTAATTAATTTTAACGTTGACTTTAATGCCTTAATTTTGTGGTTAAGTATGTTAAAAAATAGCACTAAATACATACATACAATACATGATTTTAAAAGCGTGTGTGGGTGTGCTTGAGTGTTTATTGGTAACACATATGTTTGTATGTATGTATGTAGTATAATCTTACGTCAAACAGCTCTTAAATACGCAAAAGGTGAATTCAAATATAAAATATTTTTGAAAATTCATACAAAATATGTAAATTTATTTTTTACAAATAGTTATTTACATACTTTATGTAGATAAGTACATAACCATAAATGTATTCAAGTATGTATCTATGCATACATTTACAATATAATTCCAATTCACACTGTTCATAATATTTGCGCTAATTAACTTTTAAACATTTTTTGCTACCAATTTGCGGTTGACAAATTCTCCACCTCGAATTCGTTGCGCTTAAATTTTTTAATTTGTTCACAATTCACAGCTTTTTCTCGTTGAATATATATTGTTGTTGTGGCAATTGTTGTTGTTGCTGCATAGCATGTTGTCAGGTCAGTTTAGGCGTGTGCGCATGCGCACGCGTTCGCGCTTGCAATCGTGCCAACGAAACAAGCTAAGTTGTTAAAAAAAAAAAAACAAAACAAAGCAAAAATAAAAATAAAAAATTTATTACTGCCCGCTGGCGCCTAACAACAGCTTCCCAACTCGGATCATGGCGCTTGGCGAGGTGCTGGCGTGTTTCCATTTCAACACAACAGACATTTTTTGCTTTACAACTGCGCGTTTTACAATTAAATTTTTTTTTTTCTGTGAAATAAGCGAATTAAGGTAGGGAGTGTGACTGCAGCAATTAACAAAAAAAGAAGAATTGGTAAATTCACGCGTTGGTGACTCCTTTTTTATTGTTGTCATGCTTACATATTATTTTAATGGTTTCTTTACAAAGTTGGGGTGTGCACATGCAAATATTGCAGATTTAATTTGCTCTAGATTTCATGCAGAGAGCCGTTTTTTCATGGCAATGTACTTTTGTTATAGCTGTGAATTATTGGTTTTATCTGGCATCGAGTGAGGTGAATGCGTTCTCTTGTTTATCGCTTATCAAAAAAGTAAACCGTCACTTAAACATTTTCTGCATTCATATGTACATACATATCGCATACGATCTTCAAAAGTGACACAACTCAAAATTTGGCATTTTTGAAATTATGCACTAGAAATGTGCACAGAGCTTTTATATAGCTTTCAGCAAAAGCTGAAGCAAATTTTTGGTGTAATTTGTTGAAAAAACCTAAGGTAAAGTCTTGCTTGCCCATATGATTAGTTTTTCGCAATTTCTGAAGAATGTGTAATTTTGAGTTGTGTCACCTTTGCAGATCGTGTGCCATGTACATATGTAAATGATCATTAAACGTTGAACACTTTTGCGTGCTTGCAGCCAAATTTTATGTGAACATCAGCAGCAATTATCACGTTGCTTCATATTCATGTGCGTATAAATGTTTATAGTATTTACAAAGGATACTTGAAACGCCGGCCACGTACGACGACGGCCAGTTTGCCTAATAATTAAGCGAAGATTTTATGACAGCAATTTATTTGTGCAGAACTTGAACGAGGTCGCCGCCAACAAAATGTCAGCTGCCAACCAGCAACCGCCAACTGTCGCGTCGCCACCTTCGCCGCAAGCCAATTTATTTAGTGTCGACTTCATTCATAACGAGTTGGTAGGCAATATGATGCCACATGACTTGTACTCGTATAAACATCCCAGTACATACCCTGTGAGAAAGGAAAACACTGCTCCATGCATGCTGTACAGATTTCCTTAAGAAGTGGAGTGGAACAATGTGAGAATATACGTACATACACATACATATGTACACGCAGTTGCGAAAAGGAATTAAAGGATTTAAAACTTCTGTTTTGTTTCCATAAGCAACGAAGAGCAATATTTTCCTTGAGGGTATGTATGTGCATACTTGCATACTTATATACACATGTACATATATATGTATATACATACATACAACATATGTTGTGCTTGTTGATTGTGGGTGCTCTAGTGAAATTGCGTGCCCGTATAAAATGTCTGTCGCTTTGTTGTCTGCGTCCTAGTCTGAGTTTCGCATCTTTTTCATTAGTCTGACATATTTATGTGTTCGATGATTGCATAAGATTTCGATGCGTGTGTATTTTTCGTTAAATAGGAAAAGCAAATTTTCTAAAAAAAAAAACTGTCTGACTTGTTTGGTTTTTCAAGCAAACGCCTGAATAAAAAATTGGGTTACTTAAAAGCGCTTCGCGAAATTATGAATTTTTACACAGTTACAAAATAGTTGGTTGTGGTCTCGAATTCTCTAAGCAATTATTTAACTGTTAAATACTTGACAAACAAGACAATACGACTCTAAGGACACTTTGTGAATCACCAACATACACCAATACATATGTAATGCTTGCCTCGCTGTGTGCTGGTCATAGGTATAGTGGTGCACAAAATGATAGGAGTGCGATATTTTGACCAGTTTTGGCTATTTGTTTTTTGTTTACTTACGGTTTATTATTATTTTAAAAAAGTCTAGCTAGTTATACAAGAAACACCATGTAAATCCAGATTTCAAACTTTATACAAAAATAAAAAATAAAAAATTTGCAAATTTTCACCGAAATTTCAAACTTTTTAATCAGAATCCTTAGAAAAAAAGTTGTTATACAGTTTTGTAGCCCATTTAAATCTAGTATAATGAAGTTTTCAGCTACTATAAAATCCCGTTTATTTGTTTTTTTTTTGCTGGTACTTTCCCTCATATAAAACACACGAACACACTTTGTATGCAAAAAAAAAGGGAAACTCTTGGGATCAGAAAATTCTCAAAAATCGACTTGACTTTTTACCAACATGAAATTTGCACTTTGGGGCAAAATTTTTATAATTTTTATACTAAGTTCGAAATCTGAATTTGTATGGTGTCTGCTATATAACCAGCTAGTAGACTTTTATAGAAAAAAAAAAATAATAAACATTACATAAAAAATACAAAAAGTGAGTTAAATTTTTGTAAGTTAATTCCAAGAAAGAAATTTCTAGCCACGCGTAAGCAGCAACGTAACGTGAACATCACTCCTGCATGTACATACATATGTACATACTACATACATATATATGTACGTACATGCAATTTTTGGTTTATTTATTTGGCACACGATATGCTTTGCTATTTAACATTTTCTGTCTGTCGCCAGCCGCTTGTTGCTGTCTTTGCAAAACACTTTTCAGTTTGTTAATTTTTTTTTGGTCTGCGCCAGTTCGTGTTTGTTGTTCCTATTGTTTTTGTTAGCAACTGACTATGTCACATCTTGTCGCAGCAATTTGCAAACATTTTTCACAGTGAAAGGACCTTTAAAATGCGTATCAATCATGTCGCCATTGGTCATACATTTTCACTCATTTCTAGCAAAAGAAAAACCGAATATGAAACTAAATTAAATAACAAAAAAAGAAAACAAGTGGCTAATTCCATACATACATATATATACATATGTATGTATGTGCTTCATATATGCACTACAAATATTAGTGAAACTCTGCTCAATGTTACTCATACGCCCTGACGCATCCGTGAGTCGCTTACGCATGCCAGTGCCAACTAAAGTAACGAATGAACGGACATTTTATTGCAAAACAAAATGCCTAACACAAAAAAAAATGCCACTTGAAGCTAGCAATTTATTATACTAGAATTGAATGCGCTACAAAACTGCATCCCGGAAATTTTTCTAGGAAATATTATTAACTTATTTTTACAATATCATTTTGCACCAGTTTGCGATTTGTTGATAGCTCCTAACTATGTGTTTCCTGAATTAAACAAATTCTTAGGTTCACAATACAAAAGTATGTACATATGCACATAAATCAACTTACCGCTACACATTCGCATTTGATGCAGTACATGACGCCGAATGGTGGCCCGAGGTCCGCGAACCAAGTGGAGCCAATTTCTCGTACTGTTTTGCCAAATTGACATTCCGAAACTGAAAAGAAAAAGCAAAAATTGATAATAAATAACTAAAAAATTAAAAAAAAAAACATAAAATTAAATTATAATCGCTACTATAGACTTTTCTCATATCGAGTCGAATTTGGTATTCTGTAAGCTGTCTCCCGTCTGTGGTCTCAAAAAAAGTTACTAATTTGTTAGCTGGTTAGCTGAGCAAGCCACAAAAAGATTAACATGGAGGAAAAGATAATTTCTCTCCCTTTTACTCTAAATAAAGTGAGGAAATATTTGTTTAGCAACAATTTTTAAACAAAAGTAATATTTTTCTTTTTAAAAGAATAAAAAGTAAAAATAAAAGAAAATTGAACTAAAAAAAAAGAGAAAAAAAGAAAAAAAAAAAAAAATAAAATTAATTCCGTTGCCTGAGTAACTAAACCTCGGATCTCTCGAATGGCACGCTAATGCATTGTTGACTCGGAAATTGGGACTGTTGGAGTAGCGCGAGCAAAATGACATACAAACATAGTTATTTATCTATATTTGCAACATGCTATCAGCTGACTGGCTCTGTTTGTTTTCTACCCACTTATTCGGTGCACTTTTTGTGAAATTCTCTTACTGAATACCCAAATCGTCACAAGTCACAAAAATAATCACTAATTTATACATAGTCGCAAATTTAATGACTTGAGATAAGACTTACTTACTGCCTGATTTTTTTAATTCAAAAATTATTTGAGAAATTATTTATTATTAAGAATTATTTTAAAGAACTTGTTAAATTTTAATAGTCGGTTTCATCAGCAATTTAAATGAAAAATGATTTTGAATTTTCTGTCAATTTCCATATAAAATTCATCATAAATTAAATTTAGTTTTTAAAAAAATAAATACTACGTACTTCTAGTTTTAAAAATAAAAAACGGAAAATTTATTCCGTATTTAAAATTTTTGTTATACAAATTATTTCTAATTATAAATTTTAATATACAAAGTTTTTTAAATTTTTCGATATTTGGAAAAAACAACTTTTAACATGTACGGGAAAATATTCCTATATACATAAGTAGCAGCCTAAAAGTATGTCCCACTTAACTATAAGCAAAAGAAATATATTTGTTTTCAGCATAAACATCTGCAGTCTAGTCATATTATTACAGCTTCTAGTTTGAAAGCTGGTTAATGGTAATCTAGTAGGTGTAAACTGATTACTGCTAATGCCATCCCCATATTAAATTTATGGGTGAATTGCATGGCTGGTAATCTGGCGCGGTACTAAAGGGGCCTTTTAAGAAGATAACATCAAATCCACCGATGCTAGTGCGTACAGAAAATAAAGCATATTTTTTGTTACGGCAGTAATTTTTTATTCAGAAATCCGCATATCAGTGCTAATTCTATATATTTTTTTTTTTATTTCTATTCGTAAATGATCACTGATCAGCAAACAATTTCAATTTAAGCCAATAAGCCGCAATTAACCCAAATCATATCTGCGCCACACACAAATGGCCTCGCCAAGGCTGATTGTGAGTCAGCTCGCCGGCGGAACAGCCAGTCATGGGGCCAACATTTATTTTACACTTCTAGTTTTGAACATTTTGTTGTAAATTTGAAAGCACACAAACATTTGTTTCAAGATTTTTTTTTACATGCAGCTTCGTTTTGTTTCTTTCATAGTTTTGTGTTTTTTTGTTTTCTGCATTTGCGTACGAAATTACGTATAAAATTAATTGCTTCCTTTGCTTTGTTGCCAAAGTGGCGTTGGTTTAAAAGTGCTGCCGCTTGCTGTATTACGCTTTTGTATGTATGTATCTGGCAACGCTAGTTCGGAACGTACAGCCATTTACGCTAAATGAATTGATCATAATTGCTGGCGCCAGTCAATCAACATAAAATTGCAATTATTGATTTTCGTCGATGATGACGACGACGACTTGTCTTTGCTGACATTGTGGCCTGCCTGGTAAAATGAAGCCGCATGCCACTACTCCCCGGAAACGTAACGTGTGCACCCACTACACTACGCTGACGCTATGGATCGCAGCGACTACATATGTACTATGTATTTGATTATTTATTTGGACATTCTATTTCCTCTCGACTTGATTGATTTTAGTGGGGCTTTTAATTTTCAATTGATATCTTCATTTCATTTCATGCGCGTCGATATTTAATTCAGTTCAATTCGATTTGGCACAATTTGATGTACGTAACGACCTCTCGACCTCTCGACCGGTTGACCAATTGGCGATTCGTCATCAATGCCACAACTCCTCGCTCTATTGATTCCATACCAGACCTTTGCTAGCAGCTGTAATTTATTTATTACATACATACATATCTGTACGTATTTCCTATGGAACAGTAGCTTATGCCGAGAAGCTGGCTTTAGTATAATGCGGCATTCCCTTTATCCCTTAAAACGACAAGGAATTTTTTAATGAAACTTAATAAAAATGTTGACTTGTTAGTCTCGGAACTATTTCGTGCACGTTTGTATGCCAAAAGTACTTCAACGGCTCGGCGTCAGTGAGTCATTCGCCGCATTATACTAAAGCCAGCCTTTCGACATAAGCTAGCACAATTCCATATGAACACAGACATACATACATATATGTATGTAGGTACATACATATGGTATAATTAGTTTTCTGTGTCTTTGTTTTCGAATTTTTTACTCAGATATAAACCCAATTTTGCGCACAAAAAATTGTGGAAAGCAATGCAGCAGACAACCACGCGTAGCCAATAAATTTAAAAAAAAGCAAAAAAATTATATTCAATAAAAAAAATAGGTCTCGGATATTTTTGTACCATCATACAATATTTTTTGTGAACATCAAAACAGAGATTAAAAAGTGGCAAAACAGGCGGTGAGAAAAGCAAAATAATTTCAAAAGTTTAAATTTAATTAACGATGTACATATGTATAATTTTCGAAAGATTTTGAAAAACTGTTGATTTCGAAAGGCTGTGGTGGCACACAGTCACGGAAAATGAAAGTGAAGAAATACATACATACATATTTACATAAGATCATAAAACAAACGACTGAACATAATAAATAAAAATTTTCAGGGACGCTCGATTGTCAGCTTTTTTTTTTGGGGAAGCGAGCAGTTGAAAGACGAGTGGGGTGTGTGGGGTAAATGGATGACAGCTGCTCGTAGAAGGCGAAAACGATATTGCAAAAATTAAATCATGTGGAAAATAGGCGAGCTATAAATTAAAAGAAGCAAAATTTATATTTTTTAATTAAATAATTTGCTTTTCATTGATTTTTTTTTTTTTTTGTTTTGAATTGCGCTGCAGCCAAGTCAATCACGAAATTTAATAGACTTTAATGAT